GGCGGCAGGGCCGGGATTGGTGCAGGAGCTCTGCTGATCGCTGTGGGAACCCCACCGGTACTGAACGGAGGAGAATGCTTGGGGCGGGGGGGAGGAGGAAGGGGCTGAGCTTCCCACAAAACAGGGCTATGTGCGAGGAGAAAGTCCGTCAGTGCAGGGAAAACGAGTCTAGGGGGCACTTCCGAGCAGGCGGCGGAGCTGAAAGATTGCAAAGGGCCAGGCAGCAAGAGACAAAGAGAAGGCAGGACATGAGCGAAGGAGAAGGGACGCAACAGGGGATCAGCTGAGTTAACCCAGGCGAGAAAAGCTCTTCCCCTCCTGGCACATCCCCAGGAGGCACAGGGCCAGGCTCCCCGTTCCGCCAAAAAGACAAAAGGAGCCACTGGCCCCATGGGGAAAGGGGGTGAGAAAGGAGAGGAGTCCGGGGAGCGTGAGGCGCAGCTCCGCTTCTACACCTGGGAGGAGATCCAGAAGCACAACCTGAGGACGGACAAGTGGCTGGTGATAGAGCGCAAGGTTTACAACATCACCAAGTGGGCAAACAGGCACCCGGGGGGCCACCGAGTGATCAGCCACTGCGCCGGCGAAGATGCCACGGTAAGGACCTACGCACAGACACACACCTGGTTGCCTCCAAGCTCTCAGCAGCAGCCTCTGACAGATCATTTCCTTCCTTGTGGTTCCTGAGAAGTGAGTCAGTCTTTGTACAGCCCGCTGTCTGCCTCTCTCTCCCCATCTCTCTTAACACCTGCTGTACATTCAGCTCATCCCTCTCGCTGCTTTAGCGCCAAGGAGCAAAAAAGGCTGGTACAGACTGATGCAAATCCTTGGCAGTCAGCTCCGTTGATCCATGGCGGTTTGCAGCATCTGGAAGATTGGTCGGTAGAGATTGCTGGGCTCTGCTCGAGTCCTGCTGTTTGCCTTTGTCCCTTGTTTTTAGGCTGGGCCTGGAGTTCTGATTTCATGGCCCGAGTGTCCCACGTCTTCTCCTCTTCAGTGGGTAGCTTCTGCCATGCAGAGTTAATAGCAGCCAAGCACAAGAAAGGGTTAAATAGGAGCCTGTTTCAAAGCAGCTTCTGTGAAGAGGGCGAGATTGAGGCTTTAAAACAAGGATCTTTTTAGCTTTTTCCCAGGAGGGAATTCTCTTGAGATTTTTGTTACAGGTTTCTAAGGAAAAAAGAGAACCAGTCACTGCTTGCTGCCACAGCTGCTCCTGCAGTTCAGAGCGGGTTTGCTGCAGATACCTCTCACGTCAGAGATTTTCTTCTGCAGTTTCCCCCAAAGCCACCTTCTTCAGAAGTGCATCCGGAGAGAATGCGCTCACCCCAGGGCACCAGCCCATGGTTAATAAAAATTGAACTGCCTAAGAGCTTTTCAGAATATGTGCAAGGTAAGCAGCAGGAGAGACCAAGCTGTAACATTAACCGTTTGTCTCCCATAGCTCTTAGCACCTTAAGCAAGAAGGAGGTTGGGTGGGTGCACACACATGCAGAATTAATTAGCAAGAATTACTAACATTTTACTTTCCACCAACCTGCATTTGCTTGTGGTCACCAGCTCTGCAGTTATTCTCCATTATTTTCCTGAAAGTGCTGAGACGGATTTTGGTGTTCCTGCCCCCTTCCAAAGAAACCGCTGAATGAGTGGCTTTTCCCATCTAAAAGAAGGAAACGGGCCAGGTTTTCCTTTCAGCTGCAGAAGTGCAGGCCTGTTGAAACCAGAGGAGTTAACACTCCTATCCCCAGGCGTTTAACTCCAATACCTCGATTAGAATCAATAAGTTATTTGGTCTTGCATTCGCCTCCAACCTTTGCAAGAGAGGCTGAAACGCAGGTCTGTGAGTCTACTACTCTTGATCCTCCTTGCCTCTCCTCCCACCTCCATGGAGTACGCTGTACATATATAGTATGACTATATTCAGAGCACGCTCAATGAAGGCATGGTCTTAGAGCGCCCTGAAATTGTCCATCCCACCCTGAGCACTAAAAGGAAATTGGTATCTGTTTTCCAGCTCCCCTATGGCAAATAACATTTTACTGCCAAAGAAAATCTCTCTCTTTCATTCAGGGTGAGAAAGCCTTGATCTCAACCCTGCCAAGGCCTAACTGACAGGATTCATTCTGTGCTGCAAGATATCACAACTGGGAGAGCTTAGAGGGAGGAAAAGGCAGCGATAAAAATTTAGTTCAACGTGTTTTACGTTCCTAGTTCTTACAGGGCTCGCATCCTTCTTGGGCTGTCATTAGCACCACATGCGGTCAGGACCTGCAGTCCAGCAAACATGCACCAAAGGAAGCTCAGCAGCTTGTCCACTTGTATGGACCAATCCTCTAAAGAGCCATTTCTGTCCAGAACCACAAGCTGGCACTGATGGACTCACTGAACTCCACTTCCATGCTGGGCCACTCCTAAAGATATACTGCTCAGTGATGTATGAGCTCCTCTGCTAATTCATCTCAGGATGTTTGCAAGAGAACTAACTGAGAAGCTCCCATGTCAGCTCATATGCGCGCACACCCAGCTCACGCTGGTCAGGTCAAGAACGCCAAGGCTAGCTTAGGCATGCTTTTCCCCTTCAGGTGCTAACAGCACTCAGCATGCATTGATTCCAGGCCATACCTTAGCATATTGATGCAACATGCCAGACTGGGACAACTTGTTCTGGCATCATATCATGCATGGTTGCCTTCAGAAAATGGATAAGATTTAGAGTATGCAAGAATACCTTGCAGCCTCTCTGTCTTTCAGAGACGTGCAAGGGTGTAAAAGAACATCCTTCCTCTGATTGCACTGAGCACTTCAATGCTCAACTACAGTTCATACCTCAACAAAGCAAAGCTGCCTTTACCAAAAGAAGCTGCGGTAATTCCCACTTGCACATGACCATAAGGCACCTCAGCTTACCTGGCCAATAGACCACAAAGTCGAGAGGTCAGGTGTAAACACCACATGGCACTTCTCAGAGCATATCTTCTGCCTTTTTCTCTCCATCTCCTCCAACACAGCACTGAGGATAATTCCAAATATCAGGCAGTGGCTTGCACTCAGGACCTATTAGTTAAGGAGATGTATGAGAAGTACCTAATTAAAAAGCAATTCCTTTGTCACCATAGCTTTCTGTCCACTGATGGCAAGAGTATTCAGGAGATGACATTCTCTCTGCTGCTCCGAGACTATACTGAAAAGGCCCCTTCTCTATCTAGATCAGTTACGTATATGTGTATTACTTCTTAGCTACTCCCAGTGAAGGTAATGCACTTCCTTACTGCCAGCATTTCCTTCATGACACGGGCTTGAGGCAGCAGTGAACTGGAAGATCAGTAGCACAGTTGTGAGCAACAACCGTGTTCTAACGTGATTGCATTTCCATTCAGTTCCAGCCTCTGCTTTCCATCCAGCCCAGAAGCAAGCAAGGCTGTTAAGTCCAGAGATAGAGGAGATGATCTCTTCCTGGAAAAGTCATGACAGAGTATGCATGAGCATGATTAGACAACAAATAGGCTGCTGGCAGGAAAGCTGTAGGCAGACAAAAATACTTTCCAGGTGGCCAGGCAGAAGCTGCAGTTGAATTGCTCCCCGTTAATACCGTATGACTCATAAAGAGAGATCTCCATCACTGTGATCAGGTGGTAGCCAGCCAGATTTCAGTGAAACATTCGTGAAGGCTCATCTTTGGACCAAGGGCAGAACACTACAACAGCTGGAGGCACTTAGTGAAAGGCTTATGCTGCTCTGTTACCAGTCCTGCTACAGCCTTACTTGGCCCTCTTGGCAAGTCAACCTTTTAGTGTTCTGTAAAAGAGAGAGAACAGTCTTTTTTAACCTCAGAAGGACTGTGAAGATAATACCAGAGAAGGTGAGGCATGCAGAAATTATGGTAAAGCAAATGACAGATCTTGAAGGTAAAAAAGGAAACTGATGGCTCAGGACAAGGGTCCCTTCACATGGGAAACTCCCAACTGTCCGCAGCACAGCGCTGTGGTGACAGCTCTGCTGGCCCTGGAGTTGTACCTTCATTTTGGCACCAGTAAAGTAATACCAGCGGCAAACCCAATGCAGTCGGAAAGCACTCGTCTCACTCAACACTTGACGCAGGATAAGTTTTTGCCAGCGAGGCAGTCCTCATGACTAGAGCTGGACAAGCAGACCCAGACGTTCCCCGGTGGTAGCAGGTATCACTTTGCCTCTGAAATTGCTCCCAAAAGGGGGTGGTTTGGACACTTCAGCGTGAGCCTTAAGAAGAGCATTCCCACTGAGCTGAGAGTGACTAGAACATCCCGTGCTCTACAAAAGAGGTGCACCTCAGTCTCGTTTCTAGCATTCAGGTTTTTCTCCCCTGTGCATTGAAATGACTTTCTTTTTTTTCCCTCCCCTGTACTCCTTCCCCTGGCATTTTATGGCTTTCACAATCTCTAAATTATTCCGTAGTGTTTTCTTTCTCTCCCGCACCTGCAGCAAGTTTTTCTCTCTCCCTCCCCATGCTCCATCTCTAACTTCTCATTTATCATTTCTTTAACCTCAATGTAAATGAGTGAGATCACCTTTCTCTCCTTTCTCATACACCTCCCACAGCAAAACTTCTGCGGTCAGAGTATCATTTTGGAGCGCCTTCCAAAGTCTTGGTGGCAGAAGAAAGTTTCTGTTGATTTTGGTGGACTTTGGAACCAAGCTTGTTGGCTGGTTTTTTTTTTTGTTTTTTTTTTTTTTTAACACCAGGGCTAGCCTTTTAATGGAATTAAGCTTTCCAGTCTGCTCTTCCTGTGGAGAGCAAAAGGCAAGATTTGAGTCAGCCCCAACAATTTTTAGGCAATGGGACAAAGGAAGAAAGGCTGCAACTTGGTACTTCTGATTTCTGTTTTGATTCTGTTTTTTTCTGTGCCTGAGTTTTGTTTAATCATAAAATGAATAACATAGAGATTTCAACAAGACGAGAGGAGACTCATTAGCCAAGATGTCTGATAAAGTTAGGAAACCAAACTTTCTCTAACTATCCCACTTTTAAAATCATTGGCCTTCTGGCCTTCATGAGATCCATTGTTTTGTCTCTGTGAGGAGTGGAAGGCATCAAGCTTTCAGTAGAGAGGGTTAGAGCTTGATGCAAGGGGAGCATAGTGGGCAGAAGAAAATAAGCCTTCTTCACAGTTGGAGCTCTCAGGCCAAGTGCCATCTCACAAAGGAGGAATTTAGCCATTTAAACATAGTTTATTGTGGGGACCCATACAGCGGGCAGTCTCAGCGCTTCATGGGACTACATCTTTACAGCTCTCCCAGGTGAATTTCTAGAGTTAATTCCAGTTCTGTGCCATAAGAAAAGGGCAAGGACAGAGTACGGGGTCCTGACCCTGGTCAACTTTCTCTCCTACTTCTACCTTTGGGGTCAAAATTCAAGCCATGCCATGTGGAGGGAGAGGTGTGCAAGATTTCACTACTAGCAACAGATGCGTCAAATACATGCTCCCTGCAGGCATAGGTAGGACACAGACACATGCAAACTTATAGAAAGGGGAAGGAGTAAGGTTAAAAAAAGAGCCCTTTGCATTAGAGGAAAAACCCCCCAGACACTAAAGAGGACTAAAACATAGAGATGTGGCAAACTCATTGGTCCTGGGATCAAAACACACCACAAACAAGGCATGGACGCTTCAATGCAGGAAAAACTATTAAAAGTCTTGAACATATGGAACAAAAATATTATTCCAGGAGGATTTCCGGCTTTCCCAGCCTCAAGAGCATATGCTCAAGGTGGAATTCATGTCACAATTTTCCTGAGGCACCAGTTAGATTCTGCAGCTGTAACCTAACAAACTACTTATGTCCATTATCGGGTGTTTGAGAGATGACAGTAAAATACATCCAACAGTCAAGTCAAGGCATGTACCAAGTAACAAATATGCAAGCAGTCTCACAAGAGACTAATGGGCCTGTGACAGGGACAAGCAGCTGTACACTACAGCATGGTAGAAATGACAAGAAGTCCAAAAGGACCTATATCTAATATTAATACATTCAAGACACACTTGTTATCTATACAGAGCAGGTCCTTCAGCAAGACCAAGACCTACGGTGAATACCTACTAGGCAAACTGTCCATTCCTTCCTCCCTTCCTAGCCTGCACTGGGTGAACACCAAGCCACACATAATAGAAAAAAGAAAAATCAACCTGCTCTCTTGAATTGCCTCTTGGCAGCAGGCTTTCAAAGGGTATTTATAGCCTAATGGGGATTTGCACAAACTCCTATCTGCCTTACCTTCCAGGGGAATTAACAGGACTTAGGCATTTAGTTGCTTAGGACATTTCTTGAGGTGCCTTGTCTAGAGAGTAGCCCAAATCTCACCATTCGCTTCCTGCTAGGTAAGCAAATTCAGCAGCCTTTACTAATACCGTATCAATCAAACGGCGATCAAAGAGATGGGAATCAAGAGTCCGGCACCACTCATTCAGAATAACACAGGGGACTGCTGCAGAGAAGGACGGTGCTGGAGATAGACAGGAATGATGCAAAGGGTAGGAAGCAACAGTCAGTCCTGAGTTTCACCCAGTTCCTCATGTTTCTTCTCCAGGATGCATTCCAAGCCTTTCATATCAATCCCACCTTGGTGCGAAAGTTTCTCAAGCCATTACTTATTGGAGAGCTCGCTCCAGGGGAACCCAGCCAGGACCGAGACAAGAACGTGAGTATTTGTTTCTGAGCTGGGATTTATAATAGCTACGACAACTTTTTTGCTCTCAGGACGTCCTTCAGGTCCCTATGTGAAAAACCACTAGACAGACTATAAAAGCCCTCTTCCTCACGGGCAGCTCCAGAGAGGGAGAAAAGTGCTCAGTGACTGAACGCCTCTATGCAGTGACGTGCACATCCCAGTAGAGATTAAAATGTGCGTAGGAGGGAGGTGACACATCAGACTGGCAGTACAAGCCTTTCCTTTCCCAGAGCCACCATCAGCTCTGTCTGCGGTAATCATGTCCACTTTCTAGCAGCCCACTCCAGATGCCCAGACTGGAACGATCCCATCCTGAAGGGAAACACGGACTGAGGAGCATGCACTGGGAAACGTGTGCCAGCTCTTGTGGCTGGCGTCCCTCCGGCTATTCCTTCTTTTGGGACCAAGCTGTGAAACACACGTCATTGCTTGCGTGTTATGGGGGAAGGAGGGGGCGAGGGGGAAAAGAAGGCTGAGAAGACTTCCAAAGTGAAGTCGCTCGCTGCCTCAACAAGACAAATCTCTTCCACTGTTTACTCCACAACTTCCCTTTGGCAGAACACCCCCAGGGAACTACTGCTTCAAGACTCAGACTGGCTGCAGTGAAACAGATGTCTCATTTCAGTGGCTTAGGGAGCAGCAACCCAGCAGAACTCCCCATCCACAAGGCCGGCTCTGTATCCCTCGCAGACGACCCATTCATTCATTATTCAGGCACTAGGCGCAGCACAGCTAACTCCTACCACGAAACCCAATCTCATCCTGTTATTCTTGGCTGCCTAGGATTATGATGTATCTGTATCACTCACAATAGGAGCGATGACGGTAACCGGCTCTAACCCTGGAATGCCCTTCCTGAACAATTGCACGCTAGCTGACCCGCGTATTAAATAGACCATAGCTACCCTGATATTGTGAGTTCATCACCAGAGCTTAGAAATTATGCCTAAGTAATGGGATTGAATTCTCTCTTTCTCCAGCTGTCTCCTTAATACTTGTAAAGCTCACTGAGACTAGAGTGATCAGCTGATGCTGAAGCAGCTCTTAACACAGCAAGGTAGCGCTGCTGGTTCAGAGCAGCAGGCTTGAGTTACCCTCCTAGCTCAGGGTGCAAAAGGTCAGGATATGGGCTCAGATCAGCGAGGCCTGAGCTTATTCATAGGGAAGGGGGATGAAGAACCTGAATAAAGTACGAGTATGAAGACAGGTCCTTACTTACTTGGGCGGCAGCCAGCCACTGCAAGAAACAGCCCGAGTCCTTAGTATGGAAGCTTAGGCTTCCTAAAACACATTCAGACCTATTATAAGTCTCATGCTGTGTCTCGTACATCCATTTTGCAGTCCCAGCTGGTGGAGGACTTCCGAACCCTGAGGAAGGCAGCCGAGGATATGAATTTATTCAAAGCAAGCCCTTGGTTCTTCTCCCTTTACTTGGCCCATATCATTGCAATGGAAGCTTTGGCTTGGTTAATGATTTCATACTTGGGTACCGGCTGGATCACAACTCTCATCCTTGCCTGCATCCTTGCAACTTCCCAGGTGAGAAGTAGTAGGCACAGAGCATACTGGCTACCCAAATCACCCTGAAGGAGGCTGGTGCATGCTGAACTTTTCATGTCAGATTAATCACCAATGCGACTGGGAAAAACATTCACAATACACCTGCCCCCACTGTGCTGTCTGGCCACCCCTTCCCACTGCTGAATACTCCTCACACATCTTGAGCCTTCATACCTCTTGAGCCTTTCCTTCCACATATCCCCCTCCACAACTGAAACAGAGGTCTTCCCCTTAACCCTTCCAGTGATTCTCTGTCTCTGTTTCTCCATGTGTCTGTCTCTCTCTCTCACACACACACACACACAACTTGCCTTCCATCTTTATTTCCTTTTGTGCTTAACTCTGAGGTCAACCAGCTTGCTAACTACTTTCTTTTCCTTCCTCCCAGACCCAGGCAGGCTGGCTGCAACATGACTTTGGACACCTTTCCGTCTTTAAGAAGTCTGGGTGGAACCACATAGTCCACAAGTTTGTGATTGGGCACCTGAAGGTAAAGGTCGTTATGGACCCAGGGCACTGTAGAAACAGCTGCATCCACTAACTTTGACAGTTGTCAAAGCAGGAGAGTGCAGCTCTAAGCAGTTCCACAGTGAGCCAATGCAGGGAGGAGAAATTAGCGGCCAGATCCACGTGGGGCTGTTGTGCAGAAGAAATGAGAGAGCCCGGCCAAAGCTGCTGCAGATCACAATAATTCCACAAGCTTCAGTGGAACTGCACCAGTTTATCATGGCTGAGGATATTGCTCCTTAAATTGCATGAAACTCTTATTTTAACATCCTATCATATTTCTCCCAGGCCCTCCACCTCCCTCACTCTAAGGGTTAGTAATGTTTAAATGCCCCATACAGCTATATCCTGTCCATTCTAGAGATCCTCAGAACTTCTATCCTGGGCAAAGTCCACTGCAGTCCAGGCTTTTCAGCATCCACCTGCAGAAAGAACTTCTAGGGAACGGGACACATCTCTGGCCATTCTCACAAGCCCAGTTTGTCTTGCCTGGCTCTTCCTAGACAAAGACAGTAGATGGAGATCCATAGCAATAATTAGTAAGGTAGCAAGAGGAAATAAGCCTACCATTTAGCCAGAAATAACAACTTCAACAGCGACACATAACACACTAGGGTTCAACTTTCTCGCCTGTTCTGACAATTTGAAAGATCCTGAGCCAGGGCAAAATAGCCTGGCATTACTGGTTACTAGTGGGCCCATACCAGCAGTCTCATAGCAACTGACAGTTTAACCACTTACTGCTTATGGCTATTTTAAAAGTAAGTAACAGCTTGGGCATAATCAAAGTTGCACTGTTTTAGTTTATGTGAGTGAATGGGTAATCTTACCAGTAGAGAAGCTGTGCTTCTCCGTGGATTAACTCCTTGTTCTTGCATCTGCCCAGGGTGCCTCTGCAAACTGGTGGAACCACCGTCACTTCCAACACCATGCCAAGCCCAACGTATTCAAGAAGGACCCAGATGTGAACATGCTACATATTTTTGTCCTCGGAGATTCACAGCCCGTTGAGGTAAGGCACAGTAGGTGTAAAGTAGAATAACGTTGTCCTGGAGGGCTTCAGAGAATGCTTCTGCAAAAGTAGGATTGGCTAGTGTTGATAGACATACGCATTGCTAGAAATGCTGCAGGGAAAAAAAAAAAAAAAAAAAAAGACATGCCTCATCCAGGGCTTGCATCTATATTGTCTGACAGGAGTTCAGCTCTCATATCTTCCCAAACCTTGGGTTCAAGAGCCAGATTGACTGTATAATTCCTTATCCATTTCCTACGTTGACCACAATAACAGAAATTAGTTCCTTGGCTGCATTTCTGAGGGCACAAGCCAACAAAGCTGAGTTGGAAGGGTAAAGTGCAGAGAAACTTTTTGCTGGTATAGGCTAGCCGTGAATGATTTTACCCCTACCTCACTCCAGGGATAATTCAAGGACTGAGGGCCACGTCTTGACCAACTAAGTCAGTGGAGCTACAGTAGATTACAGCACCCACCCTCCTGGAACAATTTCCTTACAGTAACTACGCATCAACTTGTTGCACACTGAGTAGCAGGCTATGTTAAGGTGTTTTGATTCAATCTGTCCTTCCAGAGCCAAAATATTTACTGTTGACTGTATAAAAACCTGCACGGAGGAAATAATGTACCGTTCTTGGTCTTTGTACAATGGAACAAGGATTTTAGTTTCCAGGAAAAAAAAAAAAAAGTCAGCTGGAAGCACAATACAGGGAAATACAAAATGCAAAAGCTCATGTGTTCTCAGTTAGCTTTTATACTATGAAGAAAGTAACTCTAGAAACATGTTGGAGCAGCCTGATATCTGGACACATACACCGAATGTCTTGTAGATGCAGAATTTAAGAGACAGAAAGGTCTGTTGTATATGACTAAAACGAAAGCCTTCTCCTGTGGTTTAAAAAGCCACTATCCAGAAGATGTAAATCAATATCATGCTCTTAAATGTGTGGGTGTGTCCCATTTGAAAATCCTGTGCCTTATAACTGGGTTTAAAAGTAGATTGCGGTTCCACCACTGGAGGAAAAACTCAGAATGCAGACATTTATGGCAACAACTAATAGCAAAAGACCACCCTAGCTTTCCCACTCTTGGTATAGCTTTACAAGACCTGGCCGATGGCAGGAGTTCACGGCACTGATGACTGCTTAAGTCACAATGAATCAGCGGTCAGGACAGTTGCTTAGAAGACTAATTAAGGTCCAGTGCTTTGCTCTGCCACAGCATCCTGTGTAATGACTTACCAAGGGTCCGACATCTTTATGCCCTACATTTGTAAAGGTAACGATAGAGATAACAGCAACTCTTATCTCAGCTGCAGGCATGGCAGAAGGTAGAGAAACGCATAAAAATGCTATCAGGCTGTCAAGTGACAAAAAAAAAGAAAGATCTGTATATCAAGCCAGAACACTTTAAATAGGAATTTATACCTAGCACAATTGGGAAGTCAGGATATAAAATGTATGGATATAAACTGTTTGCAGTGCGGAACGGCCCTAATCTCTGCCCAGGATCAGCCAATATGTTTCGAAACACTCTCACAAAACTGGAAATGTAATGCTGGAGGCAAAAGTAGGGTTAGATAACTTTGTACAGGTTAATACTTGTTGATATTTAACCATACCAAATACTTTTTATCTTTATTGGTGTGGGAATTAGGTCAAAACTCCCCATTCCAGCTAAAAAGAGTTAATAAATACAGAAGTATTGCAGAGAATATCCTCTTACATGCGGGTGTCATAATCCAAGACTGAACTTTCTCATCTGTGTCCTGCAGTACGGCAAGAAAAAGCTGAAGTACCTGCCTTACAATCATCAGCATGAGTACTTCTTCCTCAGTGAGTATCCGCACTGCCCTCTTCATTTTTCCCTTTGGTAAGGGGAGTTGAAGGCTCTTCACTTTCCAGCCCCTCCTCCTGTGTTAGCAGAGCAATTCCTTGCATCTCAACTCATCCTTCCATTCCTAAGGCTCACAGTCCCCTTAATGGTTTACTTGTACAGGTCCCACAGTCAGTTCAGTATATCCAAGCATCCTTAACGTTGCCAGCACAGCCAGGTAAAGCAAGGCAAGCAGCTGAGACTGGCAACTAATCTCAGTGTGTGAGTGGCTCCATAGAAGCACTGCATGTTGCCAGTCAATGCTCTTTGATAACTAAAGATGAACGGGCACGAAGCAGAGCCTCCTTTCCTCACAGCACGGTAACCGCCACCTTGGGGTTCCCCTATCACCAGAACCTCACTTCTCCGACCAATGTCAGGCAGGCTTTGCCTGGCACCAGTTCCTAAATCACTGGCTTGCTCTCATGTCATTCACCTTTGCACTTCCTTAGATGGCTGAAACATTTCCGTTTGCTTTGCAGTCTTCCCACCTCTGCTCATCCCTGTGTATTTCCAAATCCAAATCATCTCGACCATGATCAAGCGCAGGTTCTGGGCGGTGAGTGAAATGTCCTCCCTGTTCTCGTGGGGCCCGGCTGACTCCTAAGGAATTACACTTGAGCAAGGAGAGAGGCTCGTCATCTCTCCAGGGCAAGGACAGATGCCAGAGGGAGGATGCACAGGGCATGCTTTGCTGTACTAATTATCCAGCATTCCTAACATTACCAGTAAGATCATGTTAAGTGAGATAGGGCAAAGCAATGCCTAATGTCTTCTCTCTTCCCCTAGGACCTGGCCTGGGCTGCCAGTTACTACATGCGCTACTTCATCATGTACATCCCATTCTATGGCGTTCTGGGATCCCTGTTTCTCCTCACTTTTGTCAGGTAGGAGATGAAGGGCCTCCCTTCTGTTCTCCCCACCCTCCAACATCAGACTAACAGAGTCTCAGCTATACTATGTCCCATGGGCCTTCCTTCTTTAGGTCCTCTTCAGGCATCTTCCCTGTTTTGTGTTACCCTGAGTATTTTCACTGCTCCGCTTTCCTCCTGTCATCACCCGATTTTATCTTCTCTCAGTAGAGCTAGTTCTGGTGCCCTCCAGTTTGAGTCCTCCAAAGCTACCTTTTGCCCCTCCTTAAATCTATGGAGAAATGCTTCTTAACGTATCTAGATTTTGACTGGTCTTATAGCCCTTTGTGATTACTAGGCCTCACAGTGTGCTGCTCCCAGTGCTGAAACAGTATTATTATGCTTATTATTATGCTGTTTGACTGCTGCACGGAGAGTTCAGTGAGAGACCTAAAAACATGAACTACAAGCATGAGCTGCTGAATGAATAGGGCATGGCATGAATAGGAAGCTTACTCACAGGATGGTTACAGTATTCCAGATAGCAGCACTGAATTTGTATTTCTCTCCTGCGTGTAGTAGCTTCTACTCTTCTAGCTAAAAGCAAAGGGCTGCAATCAGTCCCACGGTCAGCATTAGTTTTAGGAAAACATTTTATCACAATGAAAACCACTTTCTAAAATATTTCATTTTTTGAGGAAAAATAAACAGCGACAGATGTGCAAAAACTTTCATAAAATCAGAACTTTCCCCTCCACACAATTTAATATCTCTGGTCATGATTTAATTTTTCACAATTGCAAAAGACTTTGTTTCTAAGGAAAAAAAAGAAAGGAGTTTCAAAAGACATTGATATGTGTAAGTGCCTAGCCAATCTCTTTGGTCTGAAAACAAACTGAAAAACTTATAACAACCAACCTGTTATTTCTACCACTATCATATTCTGATTAAGCTACAAATGCAAGAAGCAATGCTTTCCTCTTGTAAAATTGTTTCCAGTTTCTCATGATTCATCAGGAGACATTTCCCTATTAACAGTAGTTTCCTTATAATTCAGGCAGTAAGGAAGGAGCCCCAGGAGCTTTATAAAGCAATGCAACATTGTGAGCAGCCCTCCCACTGCTCAGAGAAAGCACGTTGCTTATGGAAAGTCACTAGTTTTAATCAAAATACCAAGGATGTAAAGTCAGATAAAAGCATTTCCATTTTGTTTTGACCCCAGGCGTGAATAATCACTAAAAAGATGAGATTGCTCTAATCAGCTGGTGCTCCAGATAACAGGACTCATTCATCCTCTCGCAGATAGATTAAAATACCAAGCAAAACAAACACCCATCAAAACTACACCTGGACTTCAAAACAATTCCAAAATCCTTCTTCACTTAGCTCACTCCCTTCTGTGGTTGTGTGAAATTACTGTTGGTGAAAGCAGAGATTCAGATCATCTGCTCTTTCAGAGAACAAGCCCAAAAACTATAACAAGGACAGCTTCTGGACATCTGTCTTGCCAACTTGCAACTCATCCCCAACATAGAGAAAACACTTTGGGCAAGGAGAAGAAGGTGGGTTTTTATAGACTATTGTACAGGTGCTGAAAACGCAGTCATATAGCACAAGAAGTAAATGAGCCACTCTGAAGCGATATGCAGCCCAGTGCAGAGTTGAGAATTATGGTAAAGGAAATGTAAAAAAAATGAGGTCAGGAGGAGGGGGGAAAGAGGGAAAAGAGAGTGGGGGGGAAAAAAAAAGAGGCAAAAAAATTGGGAGCCCCAGTCTGCTGAACTTAATAACCAGAAAGCTAACACCAATGGGCAGGTGGATTTTGAAAAGAACGTATATCCAGCAAGGAAAGAGAAAACCGGTTCTACTGAGCATTTCTAAATCAGGACTTACTTTTCTCAAGTGACTGGATCATCTTTGTTTACAGGAAGGGGAAGTAGCATGAAAGATCAATCCAATTCTGAGGAAGAGAAATCAAGTCGAGGGTTAGCGCAGTAGGACATTCTGGTTGTAGGGAACCATAGTTGCATTAGTCCTAAAGGTACAAAGAGAGGAAGAGAAATTAATTGCAGAAATGATTCTCTCGCTTTCCATGGAAAGAGACTTGTTTGCTTCCATATCTTGGAGAAATACTTCCCTCATACGCGAGGCCTCCTGCTGCTCCTTGTAAACCCCGCTCTCTTGACCTCATATCTTGGTCTGCAACATAAATTGTCATGCTTTTTTTCTGGTTTTGAAGGTTTCTGGAGAGTCACTGGTTTGTGTGGGTCACCCAGATGAATCACATTCCAATGGAAATCGATAGCGAGAAGCACAGAGATTGGCTCAGTTCTCAGGTAACTAGGAGGGAAAAGAGTACCTCTGACTCTACTCACCTCCAAACGGATCAGAAATTTATTCAAAGAATGGTTGCATTATCACTGTCCCTAGCCATCTCCCACGATACTACACAAAGTCAGTCTACTGTCTCTGCCATCAGCATGTTTCCCCTAGAGCAAGTAACGCTGATTCAGGACATGGAAGTCCAAACTTCTGTGACGAATACGACAACCAAAAGATTGTATTTTGTTCCTTCAGATTTGAGGCAGTGTCAGGTTCAAGCAGCGTGGTTTGACTTCCTTGTGTGGTGTATGTTGCTATAAACATACGAAGAAATAAAAGACCCTCAATGCGACTCAATGTGCTAACTTTGGCTAGCGTAAATCCGTGTGCTTTCCTTATGCTGAAAACACATCAATCCCAGTTGAAAAGAGAGCTCAGTATATTTCTAAAGTTCGCATTTTGGGAATAAGGTCTGAAATGAAAGCCAGCTGCTTTCAAAATCTTCTCAAAGGATACTTCTTATTCATAGTGTTCCAGGTCCCATTCAGACCTAGAGGATAAGGAGAGCAACTTTGACACAGGCCATATGAATTTGGTAAAACTGAGCTGAGAGAAGAAATCACCTCCTGTGTTAATGGCTCTAATTAGTAACTGTAGTTATTAATGGGGCCTTGAACACGAGCTTTCAAATCTGACAGCTAATTTCTCTCCTTTGTGCCATGCTTCACTAAAGTACCTTGGCGTTCGTTTGACGCTAAACACATGAATAGGCTCACCAAAGTCATGGGAGCGTTCAGATGTTTAACGCAGGCATTTGCTTATGCACTTTTCCCCCTCCCCCTTCCCCATCTTGGTCCTGTTGTTAACCCGCTGTTTTTCACCTGGACAGCCTGAGATGTGTGTGTCTATACTTGGACTGATGTGTGACTAGCCACCAAATGCCCATAAACTGCCTCTTTATATCGTCCCCTTTACCACCGTTGAAACCTCCGGAAGCACTAGCAACGCAACAAATCCCCAGGGGCTTAAAGCACCCCTTGCTGCAACCAGCTGTCTCAGCACGGCAGCCTTCCACGCTCCGGCGGCTCAGTGGTGCAGTAAGACACATGTCATTCCCCAGCCCCTGACACAGGCAAGAGGAGCTTTGTGCTGATTTTAGGGTGAGCGTTCCCTAATGTTCACAGCTGCTTTCTCGCCTTCACAGCTGCTGGCTACTTGCAATATTGAGCAGTCCTTTTTCAACGACTGGTTCACCGGGCACCTGAATTTCCAAATCGAGCACCAGTGAGTATGGGCCCAGAATCATCTGGCCGCTACCGGCTTGCCACAACACTGGACTTGAGGCAAGGGAAAGACTCCTAAAGGCACACGTGTGCAGGACGGGAGAGAGTCTTTGGCGCGCTACTGAATATCAAGAAGGAAAGAAAGTCCCAAACTAATCTGGGGCATCTTCTCCTTCTACCACAAAGCATGGCGTATTTTGCCTCTTGCTACAAAATACTTCAGCCCTCGCTCTCAATTTTAATACCAGGTTTTAGCTAGGTAAGAATCTACCAGTTACAAGGGCCACGGACTCGCGTTCCTGCACTCCTACGCTAACTACTTGAACCCTAGCGTCCACTTCAGAAATTTCCCCTCCCTGACAAAAAGCACTTTCACTGTTGTATCGTCTTGGGGCAGCCATGTGGGACAGCGTACACTGCTAGCAAAGAGGTTTCCAGGAAAGAGATTGGAAACCAGAGCCATATGGACAGTTACCAGTGGCAATATACCGTGTGAAAGAGATGGCGTTTATGGTTCAATTGCTTGCTTTGGAATTTAGCTCAGAGAGAAGTTAAAATTCCCATTGAACAGCACAGGGTAAGGTGATCCCAAATTCTCTATCTGCTTCTCTGCTCCATGAGCTGCCAAAAAAACATGAAAGGGGGTCACTGACAGGTCTATTTGGCAAGAGACATTAGTTACTGCCCAAAGGAAATGGGCTGCTCTCTCAGTAGACTGAGGCCATTTCCTTGCTCCTGCTTCCCTTGTGTGCCACTTGTAGCGTCCTCTCTTTCCTAAAGCTGCCTTTCCCTGTCTTTCTGCACCTGGCTTTGTTTTGAGGCATGACAGCGTGGCAGCAGAATCAGCACATTCAGTTTTCACAAGCCTCCTTGAAAGAGAGGACTGTGAAGCATAGATTTCTCTCTCAGCTTCTTTCTTCTGTCTGCTCGGATGGCTTAGGGAGGAGACGGTAATAATTAGCCACCATGAGAAGGTAGAAAGAGATGCCCAGCCCTCAGGGTTCAGCTCTAGAGTTCTCAGGCTTGTTTTCTCTTTCTCCACTCAAGCTTGTTTCCAACGATGCCACGCCACAATTTCTGGAAGGTTAAACCTTTGGTGAAGTCGTTATGTGCCAAGTACGGAGTCCAATATGAAGAGAAGTCTCTTGGAAAAGCATTCATTGACATCATTGGGTAAGGGCCTTTTAATACCCTCTGCTCCCTACAATTCATTTTTACAGGAACATCCTATCTATATGGAAAAAATAGAATTTGGGACACTGTAGACCCCCCTGAGAAATATCATGTCAGTATTTTGTAATCTCATGTCAGCTAGGGTAATAACCTTCATATCACAGTCCAAGGAGCACCTGCAGAAATGTTGACTCCGCAGAAATGACACAGCTCCACTGGCTTAGTGGAGCAACAGCAGTTGACAACATATGGGAAGCTGCCTCATTACCTCACGGGGGAAGAAAGGGCATAACTATCTGCCAGAGCAGCTTCTGCAGCACAGAGCCCTTCTATCCAAGAACCTGGGGCGAATTCAGCAACGAGATCGCTTCTAAACTTCCCGATAGGGACCTTTTCATAATACCTTTTTCTAAATGCTCTTCTGAGAGCTTGACATCAATGCCTTAGGGAGCTGGCAGCACACCTGCAGCTTGCAAACTCAGATGAATAGAAGGGATGGGTTAGATCACAGCCTACGCTGTCACCTGTTTGAGCCATCCCAGCAGCAAACAGCTATACTCTGTAGGCATGGCCGAGTACTAGACTTAATAATCCTTCTCTAGCAGATTCCGTATTAATGGTTCTGCCTCAATTACTCCAAGGAAGGCTGCCTTTCATGACAGGAAACAGAGAAAGTATTCTGCACTCAAGGGATAGCCGCTGACATAAGCATGGGCAAATGAAACCAGACTGGCCCCACCTAGACGCAGAAGGGCTGAAAACTCGTGGACATTGCACACAATACTAAGACCCAGGGAGCTCATGCTTCGTGTCCTGCGCTACAGTCACCATGTCATTATACAAATTCTCAAAACCCAGCTCAACCCAGCAATTACCTGCCCACCTGAGAGCGGGATCACCTCCTGTAAACCATATCAAGCTACTTTTCCAGATAGTTCATACACAAAAGGCAGGGGGAGGACTTACCGCACGCTATGAAAACCTTCATGCATTCAGAGAGCCAAAAACAGATAGCTTCAATTGGAGCTTGCTCCAGCACAGTCAGGATGACCTGCTATGGAATAAATGGTGCAAAATGAGAGTTTGGACACTAGGACAGCCTCAAGAGAGCAATCCCTGCCATCCCCTCCTCCTGCCCCAATTAACAGGGCGCCCAGACCAAACACAGCCCCTCCAGCACCCTCTTTGTCAAGAGGACTTTGGGGCCCAAAAGAGTTTGGCTCTGTCACACCCCTGCACAGCTGGTGCAGACAGGAAAATTCCTGCATGAAAATTTCCAGGGGAAAGTGGGGAAACTCCTCCGTGGGTGCAGCCCTGCTGTTCTGCTCAATGACACCACTGCTTATTCAAGGGGAGGAAAGGCAGGTCACCACGAGGCCCTTAGGACTGCAGGGGATACAAGGGGCATCAGCTGAAAATCTTGCTCAGAGTCTGAAGCTCGTCACCTTGGGGGCCTAAAGAGGAAAAGAGGTACCTGCTCTTGTTATATCTGTCTAACACTGGGGAAAGGCACTTGGTGTCCTAAGGATTCATACTCACATTCAGTAACAGGCTCTTCCTTCGTAGGAAGGGAAGGACAGAGGCAAGATTCACAAGCCAACCACGTTTCTCTCCATTTTCTTTCCACAGGTCTCTAAAGAAATCTGGAGATCTCTGGCTGGATGCTTACCTCCATAAGTGAACTTGAATCTTAATGGGGAGATGTGAGTGACAGGGAGGGATGGGTGGGGGGTGACCACATACGCATCTTTTACTATCAGATTTCAGTCTGTATCCATGTGCACAGTTTGAGGGGAGTTTCCTGTCTTGTGAACTGTTACTGGGATGGGCTTAGACAACCCATTTAATCCAGATAGATTTAAAACGTGTTTGGCATAGGCTTCAGTGGATGAAATGCAACACCTTTATTGCACAAAACAGATGGAAGGGAGGAAGAGGACAGAGAGGAGGAGCGTTTAAAAAGAGGCACAAAATCCACCCTCCACTTCCCCCCCCCCCCTCCCCCCCCCCCAAAAAAAAATTCCAGCTCTGCCTGAAATATGCAAGCCCTTGATTCACAGACACATGTCATTTGTCAGGCTTCAGAAAACCTCTGCACCTGGCCGGTATTCACAACCCGAGGACACCCAAGTCACTTTACACCTCTTTTCTCTTTCTCATCTTTGTGCAAGAGCGCTTAGGACAGTTTCATTTCTTCATTAAGGAAAAATGAAACAGGCCCCGATCACCATCACAACAGGAAACTCAGGTGGGCTGTGAGCCCTGGCACCCGGCCTTCAGGAATCGCGCTCCACGGGCATCGGCAGGTGCTGCATCGCGTGGCTGTATCGGTGCCCACCACCCTGCTGTGGCTTTGGTGGAAGTCTGTTTTTCCTGCCATCTTTCTCTCTCTAACCGTAGCATCGCTTTAGTAAAGGCTGCGATACTGATCCTGCACCACTAACGTCCCAGTGCTGCTCAGTGAGGGTTTTAATATGGGACTGCACCCACAGCTGTATTTTTGTGGCCAGCTGCTATTTCCAGGGGTCTGCAGAACTGCTCTGGGCTGAAGCACCAAGGCCTCTCCTTTGGGGAGAGGGACTATTTTATTTTCCTAATGAGCAGCGGGTCTATTACGAGGCCCACTAACAGCACTATGATCATCAGAAACTTGCACACAAGACCCACACAGGTCACATAGGGCAAGCCTTACCCATTGCCCAGCGATTCACTGCAATGCTCCAGCGTATCTACAAATGGCCTTTTTACCCGCGGACAGCAGTCGGGCAACAGGCTGCAAAAACACGCAGTTCTGCCTGTTTGCACGTGCCTGGCAGAAATCAAGATTGTTTCTGCGTGTCAGAGGCCAGGAGCAAGGCCCTGTAAAGGTCTTGGGATTAAGCACCAAATAAGTTCTTCCTGCAAAAGTAGGAGCTGCCCACCCATTCAACCCAGCCCCCGGGCCCTTCACGGAGGCAGCTGAGAACAGGAGTGACCAGGCTGGGCTGGCAAGGTGAAGCCTTCTGTAGAAACCTCTTCCAGTTTGTCTAAAACCCTATTTTCTGTCCAATACCTAGTGACTGAAAGCCGTCTGGCCAATCTAATCGCTTATCCAAAGGTGCAGTTGAGCAGTTCCCAGCTGTTTCTTTAACAGGGTAGCTAATCCAAAGCCCACTCCAGATAAGGAGTGGGCTTTAATTTAAAATGCAACACAGCGGAAAAGAGACAAACATATTCTTTAGTTTTTGATAAAGGAGTAGGGTTCCCACAATAGTCCCTAACTCCAGGAAACTTCAGAAAACATACTCCTAGCCCTCAGTTTTGGGAAATAAAATGAGATGACCGTGTCTGCAGACTGGAAACTCATAGGCAGGATTGCAACTTAACCTAGCTACTGATACTTAAGGTTTGTAAAGGGCTTCTTGTGGTGTTCTTGCATACCTCTAAGGTAACAAAACCGAAATACCACCATGAATGGGTAGGGCGAGACATTATTGTCGCGGGGTGTCTGAAGCTCATCCAGACTTTGATCAGCGTTTACAGTTGATTTCTTATAGCACAAATTAGAACATCCTTCTGGATGCTGTAACTTCTCAGACAGGTAGTAACAGGTTAGCTTGGAATTGTGGCTAACGCTCTTAAGACTGCCTTAATATCTCCATCTCCTCCTGACTCCCTGAATGTATCTCACTGTTACTGCACCAGCCTGGGATAACCACAAAAACACTGTAGCATCAGCAATGTTACCTTCTAAACATTCAGCTTATTTTTCTGACAGTTCGTATTTTTTTGCTCCTCCAGTTCTTGTTTCCAGAGCGAATGTTTTCTGAACACAGGTGCCTCTTCCTCATTAGATCTGTCCCCTTGTTTTCCTCTCATACCTTTCTTCTTGGGAAACCGTTTGCCTTTTAACACTTAGAGAAACTGCAGAAGTCTGGTAGCTCAGCCTAGGTAAAGTGACCCTCCTTCAGCAGCTTGGCTTCCTGCTTGCCACTGACCAGTCTACTGGAAGGACTGGTTTTCACTAAAAGAACAAAGTACTTCCAGCCCAACAGCCTGGCCTGGCCATGCCTGGGAGATAGCAGCTACAACTCGTGATGGCTGAAAGACTTTGAAACGTTCCAGCAGAGCAACCACGCTGGCACAACGCGCAGAAGGAAAGGAAAGCTCTTCGCCTAATAGGCATTTTCTTCCCCCCAACGACTTTAGCGCAAGATATCAAAGAGAATAAAGGGGGGCAGAAGAGAGCCTGATATTAGCTCTCCCTCACGCTCCCACACCAGCTACCTGCTTCTTTCAGACCCTCGAAAAATCCTTTTTGATGAAAAATGTTCAGTTGCGAAAAATCCAGAAATAAAAAAAAAAACCCAAAACTGTGCAATGTTATAGCCAGAAGTGATTTCCGAGTGTCATGTGTTGTTCTTGCTATTGCAAGATGAAAACATCCTTTCTGCAAAGAAGAGCAGGTCACCAACCCTTTGTAACTGGCAGTGTACTTTTCTTATTCATTGTACTCACGTGCCCGGAAAGTTTGTCTCGTGAAAATGTAAGGTGCTGGTTACTCCGTCAGATGAAGCCTCTCTGGTAGCCTTGCTCATGTAGTTCCCTTCCTCGCTAAAAACCAAGCCTGCCATCACTCAGTTTAAATTGTTTGAGATGCACCTTGATATAAGAGTTCTCTGTGCATTAACTGGAACAAGTCAAATGGATCCCTGACAAAGAGCCCTAGAAGTCTAGAGAAACCGGCCGTGCTATAATCCTAAACACCATCACACTAAAACCTGATTTATCTTCTAGATGCTGATAACTTCTAGATGCTGATAACTTCTGATACCTGATAACTTCTAGATGCTCTAGAAGTTTCAGTAAAACTGCAAACTTAAGCTGTAGATGGATGCAAACTTCATTTGACCTCGCTGGGCTTTGGCCCCAACCTGGACAAAATGCAGCAATTCCAGAGGAGCAGCCCTTTGCAGGCTCCAATTAGCCATCCAAAGGGTATAAACATAGAAATTTAAGCACAGTTTTGACCCAGCTTTCTCACAACTAATTAGTTCTCCTCTGAAAAAGGAGAAGGTGAAATCTCTTATGCTTTCTGTCTTGATAAAGGTCTTCCCCCAGCCCCCCGTAACAAGACAAATACAAAAAAAAAAAAAAAAGAAAAGAAAAGAAAAGAAATCTCTAAAACGTGCTGGATAAGGAAACAACAGACAGGAAAGGGCTGACTTTGCTTCTCTCCCATCACTCCTTAGCAGAGCTCCTGGTAGAAGTTAGAGGACTAGCATGTTCAGAGATGAGCGGCAGAGAAAGGCTTTAATTCAAGCAAGTGCAAGGAAGGCAACAAAAGCATCTGGGCAGGAGAGAGTTGGGCATGTGTTTTGGAAGGAGGAGTATGGAGCTGGGGAAAATACGTGAAGGGAACAGGCTGGGGAGGAGAGCATGACAGCACGGGAGAAAAACAACATTATGGGGGCATGCAGACAAGAAAAAAGCAACTTGCAACCAGCTGCCTCATGTTCTCCCATCACCACTAGGATCTAGCTGGCCAACAGCTTAGACTAGACACTGGTTTTGTGCAGATGCACAAGGCAAGAAAGGACAGAGCACCGGCTCAGGGCAAACAGCAAAGGCTGGCTACAGCAGATGCAGGTGATGTCAGATGTCTCATTGCCAAGCTGGATCTTGCACTGATTCCTGCTCTTGGAGCAGGGCCAGGACAGGTGTAACACACACGGTGCCTTACAATAGCATGTTTCAGTCCCCTGCGAAGCATGTGCTTTTCCCACACCCTGGCTAAACAGAGTTAGCCTAGATCTTCAGCCAGCAAAAATTGTTCAGCACCATGGGTCTGTGCCAGCTTAGTGAACCAGCAAGAGATCTCACCCCCTCTTTTCAGGGGGACGCCCAAGGAGAGTGAGACACCTCGCACTGAGATTTTTCTTGTTCGTGTGCATTTGCAGAGTCAAAGATCCCAGCTCCTTCCAGAAATAGAGCTTGGGAGGCTCAGAGCACCAGCAGAGCTTCACATGTCCAGATACCATTGCTCCTGGCTGCAGGGGAGAGTGGAGAACTCATTCTCTTCTAGGATCAGGCTGACCGAATCTTAAGTCTTCATTAGAACAAAAGCATCCTTTCCTGCAACAAGCTGTCCGGTCCTAGTCATAGCCTCTTCCAGCAGATGCTTTTCTAAGAAACCCATCCTAACAGAGCCCTAACACTTAAGATGTTTTCTAGTTGTTAAGACATTAAAACCACATTCCACATAGGACAGCTCCTAACTATTTCATTCTTAAAAAAAAAAAAAAAGTTTCAGTAACTCAGAAGGAACTATTTTTTCTAGTGTATTCTATTGCTCAATAAAATCATAACTGTTTGTTGATCATAAAAACGTGTCATGTGGTTTATTCAGTCACATCCAGAGCCACTGCTATGCTCAAAATAAAGTTTTCTCTTGGCATACCTTCAGCAATACAAAACCACTGAAGATTAGTATGGAGAAGCCGACGAAACTAGTTAGGACATTTCTAGGACATGAACGTCACCATCCGGGTTTGGCACTGAGGTCAAGAACAGACGTTCAAATTCAGAATTCTTAAAGGGTCAGGGTAGGATTTGGCATAAAGGCTGATTCCAGGCCAAGTTTCAGCTTTAGTCTTGTAATGGCTGTTCTTGTTTATCACATCAATTCGAAATCAGATCCCAGACCAGACTAAGAACTCTAAGAACAGCAGAGGTGCCAACACTAGCTGCTCTGGAAAAAAGGAGCTACTTATTATGGCTTTGCTTTTTTTTCCCTAGCCACAAGATTTTTATAGAGGAGCAGCTTGCCAATGATTGTGGAAAGCCCTCCTTCCTCTTGACAGGATTAAAACAGTAGAATGATTTTTATGGTCTTGACAATAGACACGTTTCTTTGTCAGCCTTTGCAAAAGCAAGGAGCAATGCTACTGCTTACCCAAGCACCAAAGAAAGTACGTTCTTCCTTGGGAGAAATAAAATACAAAAAGAAAAGGGCCTGCCCTCCCCATTCAACCCCGCCACTAGGCCCTTCAGGGAGGCAGCTGAGAACTAGGTTGATCAGATTGTGCTGGCAACATGAAACGTTCTGTAGAAACCTGTTATAATAGCTCAAAAGCTATTTTCTATCTACTGACAGCTCATCCAGAGGCATGGTAAGCAGCTTCCAGTTGTTTCTCTAACAGGGAACCCAATCCAAAGCTCGCTCCAGACAACAGCAGACTTTAGAACGTCCCAGAGGCCTTAACAGAGCCACATGTAACCGAACCAGGATCCTGTTGGTTCTTGCAAATAAATCCACTTGAACTGTACCATCAGCTACAGAGGCACACAGCAATGGACAGAGGCTATAAGAAGGAATCACACAGGTTGTCCCAAGTCACAGAATCACAGAATCACAGAATCGTTTAGGTTGGAAGGGACCTCTGGAGATCATCTCGTCCAACCTCCCTGCTCCAGCAGGGT